ATATGCGACCATTTTAATTACGAATGCAGTGAGTTTAATTCATGATGAGGTCAACAATAGTGTGTAGCAAAATACATTGGGGTAAGCGAATAAATTATTGCAAGAAGAGGTCATACCATGGAAGATGTGCTACAGCTGTAGTGAGCCACAATATCGAGCGGCCAGTATATGTGGTCTAAATAGATTTGCGTTCTAAGCTTAGTCCAACCTCGCTTATCGCTAAGATGGAACAAAGACTCAAACGCAAGAATCTTGAAAAGAAACTCAGACCAAAAAAAGATGATATAAAAATAACTAACAATTCGGATAGCAATTCCAAAGAAAATGAATAGTTTTATGGCGAATTCAATCAAAAACCTGACATTAACTACATTGATTTGGAGGTTGCTAAGCGAAAATTTTTAGGGAAACTTGAAAAAAGTGACGACGAGATTTTGCAGATCGAACAAGTTACCAAATTACAGGACTGTACCTTGTCGCGCCTTCATCGGAGGATAAGGTTGACAGCGTCTCGATTTGGTGAAGTTTGTAGAAGAAGGCAGACAACAAGCTGTAAAGTTCTAGTAAACTCCATCATATACCCAACAGAGTTTTCTAGTAACGCAATAAAAAAGGCAATACAAAAATCATTGGACACCGCAGTTCAGTCTTGTGGTCTGTTTATTGATCGCACACATCCATTTCTGGTAGTATCGCCTCCATCTATACTACATCTATTTAAAACTGTAATGACTCATACGCGTGATCAACACGTGATCAGAGCTCGATCCCGGCTTCCTTCCAGTACAGCCGTATAGCGTACGACTTATGTCGTTTCTGTGGCTTTGCGGTAGTCAACAGCACAGACAGAGATGGAAATAATGGCTGATTGTTTTCCGCCGGTAGAACCTATGAAATCAAAGACGCGCCTCGACCGGCAGACTCATAGCCGTCGGCAACCCATTGGAACGTGTTTCGTTGAGCGATCGCATATTGTGTGTTTTTATAAGAATTGTTGTGTGATTGTTATTGTTGTGGTTTCTGTGGTTACTGTTTTGGTTATACTTAACCATGGAGAGTACAAATGGCACGAGTGGAAGCACTGAAAGCCAGGGAACAAGTAGACGGCTTCGTAAAGCACTGAAGAGGGACGCGAAAGAAATCGTGCTCAACGTGTTCAATTATTTGAACAAAACTATGTCGCAGGGAGATGCACTCGCGCGTTGTGAAAGTATGACAGGCGTTCCAGAGTGGACCATTCGCAGGGTGGTGCATGAAAAGAAGAAAACTGGAGCTACTACTGATCCAAAGTTTAATTTGAAGGGACGAAAGGCCGTTAAATTGGATGACGATAGCAAAATGGCGTTAAGGCGAACCGCACATTCATTCTTCTTTAGGAATGAGATACCAACCCTCAAGGCTGTACATGCAGCGATCAAGGAAAATAAATTATACCCCAAATGAGCGTCGAGGTAATGAGGAAATCCCTGCACGAAATTAATTTTCGTTACGAAACGCGTAATCGGAAGTCAGTATTGATAGAGAGACCTGAAATAGTCGCCTGGCGTCGAAAATACCTACGCGAAATGATTGAATATAGGCGCGCAGAAAAATCTATTATTTGGACGAGACATGGGTAAATGCAGGTCACACAGTTAAAAAAACCTGGATAGACAAAAACGTAGTGAGTAACCGACAAGCAAGCATTGAAGGTTTGTCAACAGGTCTTCGTGGACCGTCAGGGAAAGGTCAAAGATTGATCGTAACTCATATTGGTAGCGATAGTGGCTTTTTAGAAGAGTGTGACTTGATTTTCGTCTCTAAGAAAGGAGGTGATTACCATGACGAAATTAATGCCAGCTGCTTCGACAGCTGGTTTCAAGGGGTGCTTCAGCGAGTTGAGCCCAACTCTGTGATCGTCATGGATAATGCTTCGTACCATAGTCGTCGAGCCGAACGTGTACCGACTATGGGATCTCGAAAAAGTGACATGCAGCAATGGTTGCGCGAAAAAGGAATCCCGTTTGACGATTCATGTGTGAAAGCGGAATTGTATGAAAAAATTAAACAGCACAAACCTGCGAACATTAGTTACGTGACGTGAATGTGGTGTCACTGTGCTGCGGTTACCGCCCTACCACAGTGAACTGAACCCAATAGAGCTCATCTGGGCTCAAGTGAAGGGTTATATTGCGCGCCATAACACAACCTTCAAATTACCAGACGTTAAGGTTTTACTTGAGACTTCCATACAGCTAGTAACGCCCAAAGCTTGGCAGAATGCTATCCGTCATGTTGTGAAGGAAGAAACAAAAATGTGGCACTTTACCACCACATCGACACCATCATAGAGCCAGTTATAGTCAATTTCAACGAGGAAAGCGATAGCGACAGTTTATTACTGTCAGATGTAAGTGGAAGCGACGATGAATAAAGGTAATTCCCAAATTTTTGACTTACAATATGTTTCAAACCACTCTTTATTAAGCATGTGACAAATCTAGTTCACCCATGTTAAACATTCATACCCCGCCTATGAACAGCCGACTACTGGTAGTTAAGTGATGTTCACGTGAACATCAATGAGTCATTACAGTTTTAGATAGTTATAGTATACCTATTACAGTAGACAAGAAATGTACTTAATCCAGGTATAAGCCTACCTGTTTATTGCTTTGCAAAACTACCTAACTGTTTCCTCTTATTTTGACGGCATAAGATATTTTTATGACTCTCATTCAATTGTTACCATGTACCACATGACCCTTGTAAACATAATTGTGTTTACTGACATGAATAAACGAATTGTAATTTGAGTTCTTGAATTTATGTTAGGAAATATATCAAATTATTTGAATACATTTTTTCTTAGACGGAACGCACCGTCGCGTCGCTTGGACTGGCAGGACGAATTTCGCCCAAAAACCGATTTGCACTTCACAGCTATTTTCTATTATTTCCAAATGAACCTCTTACAGCGTGCTAAAAACAAAGTCCGCGGGGTGCTAACGATCCACTTTTTCGATTTTATCCACTGGGACCTTTCTAAAATATCAAGAAGTTGAGCACAAATTCGACAGTAAGCATTTCAACCCACCATAATTCTTGCGCAAAGGCAAAATTTTGTAAAACGCTCTGATAGCACCTTACGCAATTATGTCCTGCTTATATCCAGAAAAACATCACAAACTGCAGAACACAAATTGAACGTAACAGTGAAATGGGTACATTTCACGGCTCATGAAATCCAAATGAAAATGTAAGTATAAAATCTACCAAATTATCGTTCTCAAAAACATATTTCCTTGACATATCGATAAAGTTCGACGCTAAATTCCCTATACTTGACTGGAGTGATATCCGAATTCATTCTTCCCTACTGTCGGCAGTTGCAGATAGATCTGTTGGCTCTTGGTGTCAAATCTATAGAGCAGGTACCAATTTTATATTCATCGGATTTTCGTAATCACTGGGATGAGAAACTTCTTAATAATAGAACGTGTTTCACTGATATCAGAGATGAAACATTCAGAATCACCTTCCCCCAACCCCCACTTTTTAAGCAGTACAATTTTTTTCTGTCAATGATAAGGAACCCCTGTAACGTCAAAAACGGAGTTTCAGCAATTGTTACTTTTTCTTTTATGCCTATAGCACCGTTGCCACTGGACTAAAACTACAAAGCTTTGGCATACTAGTAACCCCGTGTGGAAATTTCATAAAAATCCGAGCGGTTATTTTCAAGTTGATGAGTGATACAGTTTTTCGTGATGTAGATGTCATATGACTTAAAAAACATAACATCTCATTTTAGAAATTTTTCGGGATTACAATACTTCCTCGCCAATGAAGTCAAACGGCTTTAAAATCGAGGAGTATCAGCGATCGCGATTTTGAGTACCTATTTGCAGAACGACGCTATATTATATGAAATAGGGCCACCAAATTATCTGAATACGTCCTTTCTTAGTCCGTACATTGCGCCGCAACGCTTGGGTTGGCAGCACGAAACAGTAGACAAAATTCGTCCAAAATACGATTTGTAGAGGTTTGCGCGCTTCGAAATTGACGCTTTGTTTTTTGATATTTTTGGATGAAATTTTCACGGAGTGCTGAAAACAAAACCCCACAGGTTGCTATTGAGCCACTTTTTCATTTTTTTCACTAGGTTCTTTTTAAAAAAATCGCGAAGTTGAACAGAAAAAGCACGCACTTCAACCCATCATAAAACTTGTGCAAAAACAAAATTTCAAAAAGTGCTCCTATAGCACCCTGGGCAATTATCTTCTCAACATACTGTATGAATTTCATTCAAAAATATCGAAAAATGGAGTGTCAGTTTTGAAGCAGCTGAACCCTTGTAAATGGCTTGAAATTCACTGCGTCGGAGCCGCCTTAAGCGAATTTTATTTTTTTCGTTCTTGGCCGATTTTCAAAAACTACGGAGCGTTTTTTAAAGATGAGTCATGTATTTGCGGACAGATCGACAGACCAACGGAAATAAGCGAGATGGTTTTTCGTGATGTACATTTCACGATTTTTGGCAATAAAAATAAAAGACCTGATCTGCATGGCACATTTTAGAATTAAGGATGATTACTAATAAATCATGTTATTTTTTATATTAAAAACCAAAAATATAAACCAATTTAACAAAAAATCGTGGCTGGTACCTGTGGCATGGTTGACTCGTGTGGTTCAGCACCGTTGCCAAATACGGTACATAGGGTAGGGAACAAATGAGCGTTCGCAACTGTGGAGTATGGGCCCGTTTGGCTGGCTTGAACCACGCATTTTTTTTACGTTACGCCAGTTCTAATTGAAATATTATCGTCCCACCCTCGGCTCAAATGTGTAGAAATAAAACGAGAAAAGTAATTCATATATTCAACAAGCATCTCCGAACCAAGTATATTAGAATTTTTACCCTGACCAAAAATAGGTTTATGACCGGCATATCAGCACCAATCTTTTTTTCTCAATATCACGTCCAACACATTTCGTAACTGTAATAAATGTTGTTATATTTTTAATGTAATGAAGCTCTTACATACAAATAAAGAATCACTACCATGATGGTCACTTCCATTTACGAGGAAGTTCAAATTGGTGCTAACTGCCATTGCACATAACTGCATATCATCAATCGGTATTCCTGAAAGGAAATTATTATTCTAAAATCTATGTATATAATTAACAATTATTCATGTTCACGTATGCCGAGTATGGAGAAAAATTGTTGCATCGACCTTGCAGACGAAAAGAGTTGAACGCACTATTGTACGTTAGAAAAGTGTAAAGACTGCGAGAAGTAGAATCATCCGCGGACAAGCATTCTTAGTAGGATTTTTTAAGCAACGTCGCTCAACTTCCTGAATAAATGGCGTCAAGTAGGTTGACTCCGCATTTTCCAAGCCACGCTGTCATAGTGGCTATAAATTGACCACTCGTTATCTTTTTTGTATAACTTTTTAGATAAAAAAGTAAAGTTTCTCGGACAATATCTGTTTTATGTAACGAATAATGTTTTATTTTTTCAATGGGGCACCATGTATATGTTTAGTCAAAATGATAGTCACTTTTTTCCGATGATAAATAAGTGGTTTTTATTATGCTTATTTTAACATTAGATGAACAAATAAATAGTTACAAACGGGAAAGCAGTGCAGTATGTAACCGAATCTTTGAGCATAATTTTCACCAATTTCCAGAAGTTTGATTAACTTGAAACTTCGTACACGTATCAATGATCAATAACAATGCAATAATTTGATAACTGTTTTCCATTATCTTCATTCATATGTAACGTTTTCATCGACACGTTTTTTTTTAAAACAATACAAAAAACAAAGATACATTTGATAAGTTAGAAGATTACAAATGTAGGTGTATAAAAAATATGGTATATAACATATATAAGTGAAGTATGATTTAAAAGTATAAAATTGTAACAGTCATACAAAACAAAGGAATGCTATATTGGAAATATTTTTGTGTGGGGTGACAGTTAAATTTTATCAACTAATTTATATACTTTGAAGTTGAGTCATTAATTTCAGATAATGATTGCAGAAGGAAGATAAACCAAAATATGTGTGTAAAAATAAAAAAAAAATCTACCTTGTTTTATAAAGTATCCTCCCGACAAGTATTTCAGTGCGGACCTGTATTTGATCGCGAGGTCTTGGAGCACCGGCATGCCGTCTTAAGTCACCTGATTCACGAGCCCGTTGTACTACATTAACAAAGGCACGAGGGGTTGGTTGCACTCGATTGGGAAACCGATCCGCATAAACATGTGCCATTTTTATTTCGTTTGAGCCACGCAACAGACACCACTATTCACTGACGCGTTACCGACTGACACTGACTGTATACAACACAACTGAATAAAATAATTGTAAAAACATCGTTCCAAATTCTTTCGCTTTTTTGTTTCCGATGCGATGAACCGATGGCGGATTATATCCGTTGTTGCCAAACACGAGCACATAATATTATCATTGAGACAGGGCGGTACTCAAACTTCCAAAGGGCTATAACTTTGTTACTTTAATTTTACCAGAAAAATGGTAAAGGAAAAAAACATTTCTTTTGATCAGATCTACTCACTGTTAAAATAAATGACTCAACTTCGAAGTCACCCTGTACTTCTATTCGAAATAAATTTCTTCATATGTCTTTTAAATTCATCATATGATAGCAATTTTGTGGATCGAGGTAAAGCATTGTAAAAAATAATTGCGTTGTAGGTGAAGCATCTACGAAAGAATGATGTCCTCTGGAGGGGCATTTTGAGTGTTTCAGTGAATCGAATGTCCCTAGAGTGGATATTGATACTAGATATCAGCTTATTTCTCAAAAACGGCGGAATGGATGACAGTAAAAGCCTGTGGGTGTAAGTAACTAGGTGTACCTCACACAGTTCATTTACTCTCAACCACTTCATGTCATTGAACAAAGGGCTGATATGATCATATTTTTTCAAATTATTTATCAACCTATAACATGAGTTTTGGATTTTTTGGAGACGTGCTAGAGATATTGAGTCAAGAAATGGAAGATAAACTAAATCGTAATAACTAATTTTGGACATTACCAAAGATTCACACAAAATTTGTTTAGTTGTAAAGTCAAGAAATTGTTTATTAAGATATAATTGACGTACGATTGAAAAACAACTCTTACTGATATTATTTACATTTACATTTAGACATTCATCTAAAGTTACGCCCAAGTTTTTTACTGACTCACGTACTTCTATAGTCTCACCGTTTAATTTTACTTTACTAATTTCTTTTGGCATCACTTCTAAATAGTGTTGGTGAAAAAATGATGACTTTCGATTTTAAAGGGTTCAACTGAAGGTTATGATTTTTTCCATACATACTAATAGATGTTATATCTTCATTTACCTCAGATTCAGCATTTCCAATGTCGTGATTATGGGAATGACTGTAGATCTGTGAATCGTCTGCAAAGAATTGGATATTACAATATTTAACAACTGAATGGAGATCAGAAATATACAAAATGAATAGGAGTGGCCCAAGTACAGACCCTTGAGGCACTCCGGAGGAAATGAGGCACTTTGAAGATAGAACCATGTCAATAAGAAACCTTTGATATCGATTTCCTAAGGAGCTCTGAATCATTTTGAGGCAGAATCAGAAAAACCAAAATATACGCACTTGGGTGCTAGAAGACAATGATTTATGGTATCGAACGCCTTAGAGAAGTCAAGAACAACTAATGATGTGATCATATGTTGATCTCAGGCTCTAACAATGTTATCGGTTAAGTCTAATAGGGCACCTGCCTCTTCTTAAGAATCATGTTTGTAATAGATGTAATGGTGAAATGTATAAATTTCGTGCTGCACCTCGCGCTGGCTATAATTGAGCTGCATATTATTTTTATTTAAGGTAATGTTGGTATATTATTATGAATTTTATGTAGTATATATCTATATAATTTATATATATATATATATAGCTTTTTATGACAAAATTTATGTGAACATTACTACACTTTATGAAATTCTAAGCTATTTGATTCAGAAACTTCCTTCAACTGTTATGGGCTTAGGGTTACCTTGGATTACAAGTTTACTGTAGATTGCTAATGATGTGTGACAGGATATAAATGGCATAAAGAACGTTTTCCTGGTATTTATCGTTAAAAGTTTATTATCCAACCAATTATATATATATATATATATATATATATATATATATACTAAGTGACATATAAATCCGAACACCCAGTTTAAATGGTTTTATTTTAATAAAATTTTGTATAAGTACTTAATGAAGCATAATAAGTAAATGATAAAAATTTCAAAATGATTGCACTGCTTTAAAGCCCTTTGACCTTTAATAATGTGTGGATGCACCCTGATGTGCTACGCATTCTCCAACGCGCCTAGGCATGCTTCTGATCAGGTGGTCAATGTCCTCCTGTGGTATCTCATTCCAGGCAACCACGAACTCCTCTCGAAGTGCTTCTAGAGTCTGAGGAGGACGTTGCAAATTGACCCATCATATCCCACACGTGCTCAATTGGGGATAGGTCGGGAGATCTTGGTGGCCATGGTAACACTGTGACATCATTATGTTGAAAGAAGTCTATTGTGACTCTTGCAACATGTGGTCGGGCATTATCTTGTTGGAAAGTTGGATCTGCCAGGGTGTCAAGATAGGTTTCTAGAACTTCGTGGATATAACGCTGCGCGTTCATGTTACCTCTGATGAAGATTAAAGGTGACCTGGAACCATAAGCTATAGCACCCCAAACTATAACTCCAACAGTGTGATGAACATGTCTTTCAACAAAAAACTGTGTATTCCTTGTTTCACCAAGTCGCCTTCTAACCCTGGCACGACCATCGTGCATGCCTAAACAAAATCGAGACTCGTCACTAAAGACAATACTGTTCCATTCCTGATCCCAGAGTGACCGTTGTCTGCACCACTCAAGGCGATTACGTCGGTGTTCTCAAGTTAAAGGGAGGACCCAGTGTGGCCGGTATGAAAACAAGCCAAAACTTCTCATTTGTCGGTAAACACTTCGCATGCCAATAGGTCTTCCGTGTTCTGCAAACCATTCATTTGCAATGGACCTGATAGTGGAGAAACGGTCCCTTAAGGCCAATAATCTTAGGCGGCGATCTTCACGGTCTGTTGTTCTACGGCGGCGTCCAGTGCCCCTTGCTCTTTGCGTACGGCCTTCTCGAAGCCATGCCTGACAACACCTAACCACAGTGTCTACACTTCTTTGCACTCTAACTGCAATTGCCCGAAAAGAAAGTCCAGCTTCCCGAAGTCCCACTATACGGCCCCTATCAAACTCACTAAGTTGGCGAAATCGTACAGGTCTCCGTACTCTAGGCGGCCTAATCGATCGTAAAGGATGTCAAGAACCAAAATCCGCCAACGATGATTCTTTACTGCGGCTGAAATATTCATTTTTAGAGCGTTAGTGAATTGAAAAACAGCAGTATAAAAACCGGAATGTCCAACTGATAAGGCTGAAAATTTTTTCACTTGTTATTTACAGTAAGATAAATACATTCACCAACTTTTTTTAAAATAAAACCATTTAAACTGTGTGTCGGATTTATATGTCACTTAGTATATATAGCAAGGGCCTTAGTACTGTGCCCTGCGGGAACCATATTTAAGATATTTTGTTTCACGATATGTATTCCCTATTTTAACACACTGGTTCCCTTGAATAATCTGTTAGCAGAAATTGTGATTTTCCCCGAAATCCTGTTCTTCCTAATCATTGAAGTAGCATTTCATGATCTACCGTATCGAAAGCCTTGTTCAAATCTATTCAGATGCATGGGTTTCTTACTAAGAGACCCACAGTAACTATTTTGACAATCTTTACTCAGTTCGCTATTGAAGCGTTCGATAGGGTGGACCATGGCATACCTTTAAATAGGTTTTCTCATTATGGATTCCGTCCATCAGCTTTAGCACTCATTCAAAGTAATCTTCAAGATAGGAAGCAGTATGTAACTTTCAATGGCTTTAAGTCGTACCAGTATGTAACTAAATCGGGAGTGCCTCAGGGTTCAAACCTTGGTCCTTTATTCTTTACCTCATTTATTGATGATATGACGCAATATTGAAGTTTTAACTCGTC